AGTTACAATAATATGCACCATTCACATTCATATTGTAAAATCCAGAGAACAACGTTTCATCACGTGCTTTCCTTATCATCCTATGATTTGTCAAACGGGAGACACAGCAATTGGAATAATTGGTACTGAAATTGACACTTTCGACTAGGATTGGCTAAAAGTTTTACAACTGAGGTTTAACACGCCCAGACGCAGTTTTATAAAGAAACCAGACTAGAAAAAGGTTTAGATACTAATCATAGATGGCAGAACCAGTGCTGAGATTAAAGGAAATATCTTAAAAAAATTTTTTGAAAAAACATTTCTTCGTAGAGGGCGCTTATTTACAGTCTAAAACGTATTTTAGGAATTTTTTCATTAAATTCCTCTTTAAACTTCATTAAAGAATACAATTTTGTACAAATAATTGAATGTTATGCTACTATTTATAAAAATACAATCAGAAATCCATTAAAAGATAAGTTCTCTATCATTTTTTCATTTCATAAATGCACACTTGCATTGCCTACTGAGAAAGTTAGTACCCGTAGTCATAGGGTTAAGTTAATGGTACTTAACATTTCAAATAAAATTTTTACCTGAATTAATTCCTCTAAGTATGATGATAGGAGAGTACTTGTCTCGACATACGGCCAAGTGTTGCCGACCATTTATCTCGAACGTATGGACATAGCTACCGCCATATATTGGTATTGTTAGCCACATTTGAAAGTTGTCTGAAAATAAATGCTAGTTTAGTTGTCACATACACAAACCGTATTCTTTGCTTCATCGCTCAGACTGATACTCAATAAAGATACAGCACGTGATATTCGAATATTTATACAATTATTCTACCACGCCCATCGATACAAAAAACAACCAATGGCTAACAAAGAAAAACAATAAAAAAAAAAAATCAATGCTATTCCGTTACTTACCGACCAAGCGATAAATGATTAGATTGCATTGTTCGTGACTCTCCACGTTAGTTGGTCCATCAAGAACAATCAGGAATACGTCAGGCAAGCAACCCCACGTAAACACTTCCATATGTTTAACGAGATGCATCGGAAGCACTTGCCAGAGTTTAAATTCTCCGTACAGATTGGTTCTGAAAACCTATAAATAGATACCAAAATATTCTTAGCACTAGTTACACATCAACTCTTGCAGTTAAGATTATTTTTCGTAGTGGGAAGAGAAGGGTAAACGTTCTATAACTGTATCGTAAAGCAGGGGACGGTAAAAACAACCAATTAAAATAAAGGTTATATTATCTTAAGTGAAATATTCATATAATGCATTATGCACGCCTGTTTTGTTGTTAAGACAACAAAAGTCTATCAAACTGGTGTAGTTACACTCACAAAAAAACCTTTCATTTTTATAGGTATTTGAAGAACTTGTAGCATTCCGCCACAATTTAATTCTTCGTATTGTTAACCGACACTGGGCACCTAACAACTACGAATAATTAAATTAGTGGCGGTATGCTACAAGTTCTCCAAATACCTATATAATGATGGGTTTCTTTTTTTGTGATTGTAAAACATGTAAATACACCAGTTTGATTTTCAATACCTCACTGGTATAAAGTCTTGGTTTGGTCTGATATTTCATTGGTGGTAGTGTCCAGGGTCACTGATGAGGAGTGGAATTCTCCGAAACTAGTCTGGCTCACAGACACACACACACACACCAATGAAAGAATAGACCATTCCAAGCTTTTACTGGTTGTTAAACAAATGTTTAAACAATTCTTCGTTAAATAGACTCGTGTTGAATAAGTAAACACGAACTTAAACCCGTTAAGAGAATGACAGGTCAGTAGAACCCTGGGATCTATAGAGATCCGTTCCGTTATTACCATATTCCTTATAATAATGTATTTCACAACTCGCACAATATATTAAGAGTTAAATATTCTAATTTTATACACGTTCGCAAGTTTCTTACATATAAAGAAGTCCCATTCACAAATAAAAAGTGTTATACATGTGCGAGCGAGTGTAAGGAAAACATGAAAGTTAGCCATTTAAGTACATTTAAATTATAGGAATTTCAACATCTTTAGATGATGCAGTCCACTACCGATAGTTCCTATCGTGACCTTTCATAGTTCAATACAAAATATAGATGATGCAGTCCACTGAACATAGTTCCTATCGTGTCCAAAGTGACCTTTCATGGTTCAATACAAAATATAGATGATGCAGTCCACTGAACATAGTTCCTATCGTGTCCAAAGTGACCTTTCATGGTTCAATACAAAATATAGAAGATTCAGTCCACTGAACATAGTTCCTATCGTGTCCAAAGTGACCTTTCATAGTTCAATACAAAATATAGAAGATTCAGTCCACTGAACATAGTTCCTATCGTGTCCAAAGTGACCTTTCATAGTTCAATACAAAATATGTTGAACTTTTTTTTTTTTTAATATTGAAAGATCTTTGGTTAACAACCCTTAATTCCCCTTTTAAGTTTAGTCAGACTTATAGTAGAGATTTACGTTCAATTTGTAAGTAAAAGGTGTTGGTGGGGTATAAGGAGTAAAGATTGAAGTCTTTGAAGCTCAGTAGGCTACAACTAGGAGGTTCGGGAGGGGGTGGGTGAGAAGAGTACTCTTTGATAAGTTCTGCACTTAAGTAGCTGTGGTATATTTTGATGGAGTGGGTGCCAAAATTTTATAAACATTAAAAAAAGCCAAGTACAAGCGAAACTAAGGTAAAACTAAACTATTCAATAGCCAACTTACGTTACCTAGTTCTTACTAGAATCTTACTCGAGTTTCGATTCTTATCTCCACTCCAGATATTAAAGTTATCAAAATCTGTTAATAGGGAGTCTACTTTGTATCATACATTCAAATTTAAGTTGGGGAAGGGAGCGAAATGGGTGCTGGTATCCCTATATTGGGCAAATTGGTACAAGCCTTTACTCTTCTTCTGAAGCCCTTGCAACTTTCTCAAGATATCTTACGTCAATGATAAACATGGGAAAGGTCAGGCATCAGTCACAACACCTTACGTCAATGATAAACATGGGAAAGGTCAGGCATCAGTCACAACACCTTACGTCAATGACAAACAAGGGAAAGGTCAGGCATCAGTCACAACACCTTACGTCAATGACAAACAAGGGAAAGGTCAGGCATCAGTCACAACACCTTACGTCAATGACAAACAAGGGAAAGGTCAGGCATCAGTCACAACACCTTACGTCAATGACAAACAAGGAAAAGGTCAGGCATCAGTCACAACACCTTACGTCAATGACAAACAAGGGAAAGGTTAGGCATCAGTCACAACACCTTACGTCAATGACAAACAAGGGAAAGGTTAGGCATCAGTCACAACACCTTACGTCAATGACAAACAAGGGAAAGGTTAGGCATCAGTAACAACACCTACCAATATCCCTCCACTGCTTAGGTCTGGATTATTTTGTCCACAAACCAGATAATGATAAAACGAGCGTTTGAAATAAGAACAGAAGTCTATGGCAGTACAGGCTATCCACTGTTTGGTGACGAGTAATCCACTGTTCAGAACTAACAGATGTAGTCCATTTTCTCCACTGATCACCAAATATGTGATGTTGTCATCGTTGTAGGATAGCAGACTTTTCACTCCTGCAAGGTCAACGTTATATCGTTTTGACAAACATTTTTCGCAAGCCAAATTTTACTTTCTTCTGTTCAGTTTGTGGAGTAGATTTGATAAATTTTTTTTTCCCACCCAGAGAAAGATAATTTTTTTAGCCCAATACATGCCTTTAAAATATAAAAGTATTTTTTACATCAAGCGAAGATACTTGGTGTCGTAAATTTAAGATTCACAGTGGTTTCCAGAAGGTATAATTCTAACCAATTTTTAAGTTGATATACAGATAACAATTTGTAGAGAATAGAGTTTTTCAGTTTTAGTGAAAACACACAAAATTTACGGAATTCCTAAAAGATATATTACAGATTATACAAATAATTAGAAACTACTTGTACAGAAAAAATTAACAAAATTTATCATATTCAGGAGGTTCTCGCCCAGGTTAACTCTTCAAACAAACTATTGATCCGTTCCCGCACCAGCGTTGGTTTTTTTTTTTTTTTTT